AGGAAGGTTTGATACAAAGTATGTTTACAAGGACTTTGCTGCATGACAAGGAAATATTAAGATACTTAAATAATTCTACAAGTATTACTAAGTGTTCTAATATGTTTTCCAAAGATACTCTCTGAGAACAATACTATTATTACACAATACACTGCACTTAAAAATTCCTAACTAATCAACACCACTCAGTCAACTTCTTTGTTCTATGTGGTTCACCACAAGTAAACCAACAAGAACATTATATCCATGCACAAAGATAACACTCTGAGATTCAAAAATACTAAAAAAAAAAATTTTGCTCAATAAATGTTCGTGAACATATTTATCAGTTTTGCTATCAACATTTAAATTTGCAACTTTAAGCAAATCAGTAAAAATGATCTTCATGGCCAGTGATTTCGCAAGTCTGAAAACAATCAATCCCATTCTTTGCAAATCTTTAAAAAAAAGTATTGTACAAAGATACTCTTTCCTTTGCCTGTTATAAATTGAAGTATGTTACAAATCTTTTTATTGTTGAAAGTAACAAACAGTTCTATTTATGTTAATACAAAAATGGCTCAAATTTCCCATAAACAATATAAGTTACACCAGGTAAACTTTGATTCACCTATGATACTTTGTACCAGACTCATGAAATATAAGCTTTTAGTTTAAACATAGGGCAGATATGGTTGCTTGATGCTGGAGCAGTAAGTCATGATGATTCAGTTTAATTGATCAGGTATCATGATTCATCAGAATCCATGTATAATGTACTATGAGCATGCAAACCTTACAAATAGATGATCATGTTATTGCTTCATCAGTATCCTTACATGATCTGTTAGCACTTTTTATCTACTTACTCCATATTAAAATAAACCGATCATTTTTTTATATACCAGTTTACTGGGCTATATCTATCTTATTTATTGTTGACATTCTGGGTGTATCGAGAAGTAAAAAAATAGAAACTTAAAATGACTGTCACGATATTAAGAAACTGGATGAAACTAGTGTACCAATAATTAGTGCTCGCCAATTTTTTTAAGCCAATCACCGACGAGGATTTTTCAAATTTTCAGGTTTCAAATCTTAATAGAACAGATTTTATATAAACTGGACGTTTTATATTATAAAACGCAAGTGGGCGGAGCTAAGTTTCGAAAAGCGCTAAAGTGAAATATACGCATGTGCAGAGATCTTGAAGTTTACTCCTACTAATCAATATTTATGCATCATGTTTTTTCCGTACACGCACATGTATATCGTCACTACGGCATAGAATTAAAAAAAAAGAGGTTCATTGAAATGAAAACAGGCAAAATAACAGTAAAAATGTTTTATTACTTACGGAACCAGTATCATTTTATAATTTCCAAATAAAAAGTTCACTTTCAGGCTTCGCGAAAGTTGCCGGACCGTCGGACATGTCCGGCAAAAATCAGGCCGGTCCGATATTTTTTTTCGGAGTTCCGGACCTTATGTCCGGTACGAATACCGGGATATATCCAAGACCTATCAAGACCGAGTTTTCTCCCTTGAATAAAAAAATGTAAAACGAGTTTTGATTCGCCGTTTCATTATAAGTGTCCAATCAAATTCTAGATACATACGACTGTCAATAACCAAAATGTCGGCATTACTACATTATTACGCTGGCGCTACGCCCGGCAAAAATCGTAAACTATCCAATGAAGAAAAAAAAGCGAAACAAAAGGAATACGAGTCCAGGCGCCCGCCGAGAAAATTTGTGGGTAAATGGAAAAATGGCCGCTTTGATCATGAATGTTTTGATTCCCAGACAGAGTCCATCAATCTGGATAAAATAATGTTTTATTTAAGGGAATAAAATTGTGTTGCAAATCTTTAAAAGTTGTTATGTCTTTAAAAAAACACAAAGGTATTACCATATAAATATATTTGGAAAAAAATTCGGTCAGACAAAAGTTCTTTCGGTCAGACAAGAATTGAAAGTTTGTCTGACCGAATGTCAGGCAAATTTTTCAGCAGTTTCGCGAAGCCTGCACTTTATTCCAACAATGTATGTATGTAATATTTCTTACTTTTTATGTAAATATTACAGCCCGTGCCGCTGCAAAACTGAAAGTAGGGTTTTTTACTGATTTTCATTTATTTTTGACAATATACTGCCATTTGTCCGAAGATGATATGTATTTGAACATAATAAATATGTATGATGCATATATAATCAAGCCACAGGTTCATTTCAGCCCGAAAAATATGTCGAGGTGACGGGCGCGGCAAGACATGTCGACTTTTTGTAGCTTATTGTGAAGTTGCAGTACATGAAAATCAGGCACATGACAAATCAGCACATAAATAAAACGTTCTAGTGTTCCGTGCTATACATCTTTTCTACATGTCATCTCCTTTCCTTATTACAATGAAACTTTACTGCATTGTTATCCATCGCTGGTTTGTTTTTAGCAGAGAATGACCAAGAGGGTACCGTTTGAGAATATTTCGCAAAGAGAGTACCGATATGGATATGCACCGTGATATTGTCTGATTTACCTAGACAGAATATGCAAAACACGGGACCCGAAAATGTGTACCACTACCTCTTCCAAATATGGTTATGTATACACATTTAGGCTATCGTGTGACGTCACGCAGTGTGTTAGGGCGGAAAAAAAATGGGCGGAGCACTAAGCCGGTTAGAGTGCATATTGGATGTTCTTCGTAAATAAGAAAGCTACAGTCGCTTCGCAAGCTCCGCTCCTTTTTAGCTTTCTTATTTACGAAGAACACCCAATATGCACTCTAACCTATACTTAGAACATTTAAATTTAAGTATTGAAATTTATATTGGTGGCCTGATTATACAATAGTGAATACACTTTGAATGGAAATTGAATTACACAATGTCATATATAACAAATGCTTAAACTCTTTATATTGCTTATACAAATGAAAGGATTCTGTGACACTACAATGGAAACGTAATATAATTTTAGAAATAACTAGGGATGGGTACCACCAATTTTTTTGTACCGCGGTATATCGCGGTATTTCACCTGTGTACCGTGGTATGTACCACGGTATTATGAAGACACTTTTTAATGTTTAACTTATGCAAACTAAGACCAACTGCCATAAGAATGTTTAAACATTTTGATAAAACACAATACATTTTAGAAAAACAGACTTTTGGAGCCCAAAATGCCTCCAAATATCCGATTTCCCCTTTGGATTTTTGACCGTGGTGAATTCGTCCATGACGGTATGAGCTGTTTACAAGTTGGGCTATGTCTAAATGCTTTACGTTTTGTTATTGTCGCCACTCGTCAATACGTCAACATGTTTACTAGCCTTAGACTGAGCACTAACATGGGAGTCCCCTTTTAATGCATTTAAATGAAGAATGATATATAGAAATTATAAAAATGTCGGCGGATGAAATGTATTTACACTACATAATAAATACACTACATAATAAATATGAAAAACAACCGGGAAACGATCCGACCTTTCCGCGACTAATCATTCGTTAGAGTATTATACTGTGCATTTACTGCTGCTCTAAAAATAGACTTGGAATTCCACTTTAATTTAGGTTGAAACACAGATTACAGGGTAAATAACGTCCGAATCTTACAAAAATATTATGTAAAATTATATATATTAAAAAACCGGTATTCCTAGGGGTCGTACCGGTACGTACCGCGTCTGAACGAAACCGCGGTATACCGGTATACCGGTAATACCGCACATCCCTAGAAATAACAACACTGGACTTGGTTTAAAATGTATAAATTTATAGAAATTTTCACTTCCAATGTTAACTCTATTTTAGACGCATTTTAAGGAATCAATAACATAATAACATGTCATATGGATTATGGAATAAGTTACTTTTACATGTAATATAACCTTCTCAAATTTCTTTTTAATAGTATTAGATCATATTTCAAGTTTAAAACACCCGTCATTCTGTATGATTTCATTTCTTGACAAATTTGTCAGGGTAAAATCTTTTGTATAAAACTTAGTAACAGTGAATCGTATATGAATTTTAACAACTCTGTGAAAGTGAATCCTTATGTTTTCCCCCTTCTATTACAGAAAGGTCCAGTAAACGAAGCTTATTTTTCCTATAATGGTGTCTTTAAATTCTCAGAGTCACTCTAACTTACATGATTGTACATACCACTTTTTTATATAAGTTTTTTATAGTCAATAAAGTTCAGTCTAAGGAAATGCTGCAATTGGTCACGGCTGTGCCAACAAATGGCTACAAAAAATAATTATTTTTCTCAATAGCCTAGGCTAAGGGTAGAAAAATGCAGCCTCAAGTGACAGGTCATGAGGTCAACTATATGTGGTCTTTATTTTGGATCGACTGAAATACAGGCCTGTTCTCTACCGCCTTTCTGCAACATGTATATATTATGTCAAATCAAAACAGGAAGGGTATTAATTTACTAGAGTATACAATGAAGTATGTCATCAAGACGTAATGTTTAAATCAGGAAGTACTTAAAATAACAATACTATGTTTTGGCGCAAACCAATAACTTAAGTTGACTTCTCTTTTCTCATTTAGCTTATTAATAGCTTTTAAATATTTAAAATATAATATATGTATGAACAAAATAAAACTGATGGTCTGATTACCAAAGTACTGTAACATTTTATACATCCAGGCAGTATGTCAGACCTGTCACTAAAAATAAAAACTCTTTAGTACACTACAACCATGTAGACATTCTTCAGAACAAAAAGAATTTTACTTTGCTTATTGATCAAGTTTTTCAACACTGTCAATAATTTAAAGACATAACTGATCAATAGCAGGAAATTTTTAAAAGTATTAAGAATGAAACAAAAATTACAGAACACTTGTGTAAGTAAATCTTTTGAAACAAGAACAAAAAAACTTTAAGAAATGGTCCCCTTTTCAATTACAAACACTTCATGTTGTATTATGCATTATAAACTTAAATTACTCAATCACTATCATTAGTCAAGACAAAGCATAAATTCCTATTTACCTTGATAAAAAACCAGAGATTCCTTTTCTCTTTGGTTTACTATGTTTATCTTCAAAGCCACTGTCTTGTGAAGGGTTCTTTCCTCTTTCAAAGGAATTTCTTGAGTGCAAGTTTATTTCCATAAACCCCCCATCCCCAGTGTCTATACAATGCCCTGTTCCTTCCCCATCATCTAGTGAGGCAGCTGATACAGAAAAGTCAGTACCTGTACTTAAACTTGAAAGACTAGAAGCATCTGTAAAAGTTCGTAATAATGAATCATTTGTACTAGTCCTAGGAAAATTGCACACAAATTCAGAGTTATCACAAGAATTTCCATCAGGATCCCTGATTCTAATCAAACACTCTGTTTCATTCACACTAGTTGTATCTTCCAAGTTCACTGGTGATAGAAATTGAATGCTATGCACTGAGCTTGAATCAGACATTTTTACTGGTGAACTATTACTTCTTTGTGTCCTTACAATACCGCTTGTATCATTACTTTTATATCCAGAGGATTCAGTCTCACTTTCATCAGTTCTTCCATTTCTAGTAGACTCTCCAGAATCATTTGTACCATTTTGCAATTCTGTTTTCTTAGTTGCAACTAACTGTTGAGTGGTAGGAATGTAAACAAGATGAAGATCTAGACTATCAAGTACTGCTGACATCCGTTGTCTTTCATCTTTCATTATAACGTGAACATCCTGTGTAAGTGATGTAGGGGAAATGAGTAATCCAGATGTCACTTTAGTTGTTGACATAGTAACCACATTGTTACTGTGAGCTATTACTGAATCAGAATGGGATTCAAAAAGATGCCGCGGTTGCTTTACTCCACTCTTTAATCCTGATTCTACAGTCTGATCTTTCCAATGATGCCTAGAATTTGAATCTGCACTGTCTATTAGTGTTTCTGTTGACAAGCATAACGAGTCAGTCTGTTCGACAGAGTTATCAGATATGTATTGAGCTTCATCATCCGGTTGATTTAAATTGGATGAGCCGTTACATTCTGTATCTTTTCTGGTTTCAGACACTAAAAAGCTGTTATCTTCTTCAATGTTCTCAGTATCATTTGCTGAAATTTCTTTCAACCTTGCCTTTAATGAATCAATATCTTCATTGTTGTTAAAAATATTTACTGTCAAAATTTCCTCTTCGTTTCCATTGTTACTGACCCTAGACATTCCTTCTGTAGAAATGTATTCGCTCATTTTAGATCTCATTCTTTACGAACAGATTACTAGGTAGAGGTGCTGCCATTTAAATTCGATTGTTTTTTAAATTATTCTCCACCTCAGACCTAGCACAGGTAAGTAAACATAAATCCAATGTTACTGACCTTTTAGACATGTTAAAATAAATGAATAACACTGAAACGTTTCAAAATATTCATGTTCTAAACAAAAATTAAGGACTATAAAATTAAATTCTTTGTTTTAATGAGCATTTCTTGTCTTCAGCTCCTGCAATAAAGTTTATCTGCACAAATTCCAGTCAAAATAGCTCCAAGCCGACGACATAACACGGCCATTTTGGATATGCAAATGAGGGGGTGGAGAAATTGGTAGTGAATAGTTAGCTGTAACTATTGCGTAAAATAATGGGAAAGAAAAAAAACTTTATAAAACTCATCGGATTATACAAAACAAATGTGGTTCTGTATTAAGTGTGTTTTTATTCAAAAGAAAAGGAAGTATAAACGAAAAATTAATTAAACTATTCATAACTTTTATTTAACCCAAAGTAATTATTTAAAGCCAACGAATAAAAGGTTTAAAGCCACTAAAAGTTATAATGTCATGGTGCATAATTTGCAGAAATTTCCTGACAGATTTTATTATATTGTTGCTAATGCAAAATGACATAAGTTTCCTTCCAGTTATGCCCCTTTTATGAAGAAAAATATACTTCATTGAAGTATAACAAAATGCCTAAATTCAGTATTGGCTGGGAAGAAAGATACACTAGTTACATTATTAGTCCCAGTTCTTATAAACTTTTCATATTGACTGAAATAATGAAGAATGAAATAACAAACTATTTGAAATAGAATTTGGTATGATGTGAGTAATCTGTTCTTGAAAATGACCCAATTGAGAAAAACCTTAATTTCAGGGGCAGATAACTCAAAATGTAGGATGGGATTGCATTACCTTTATTAATCATTTGCTTCAAGTATGCAAAATTCAAGAAAATTCTCTGTTTTAATATTAATTTTGATTAAAGTTAACAATAAAAAATCAATACAAGGTGTAAAGAGGTGCCAAAGGCCAACATTTCAATGACTGTGCTTGACATTTTTGGCAATTATTTCATGTTTTTCTATTTAAATATTCAATGCAGATTAAATTTATCCTCACATTTGGTACATGCATTATTTCCTTGTACTGCTTCTCTTTAAGTGTTTTTGGTTTCTTTCGATTTGTTAGTAGATTACACTTATTACAACATGAAAAGTAAGGTTATATAGCCAAGATTTTCCGAAACAATGCATTTTAAGGTGCCAATTAATGCATTTAAAGTGGCTGCTAACTAGAAATTAAGTTGATTGTATTCTGCATGTAAATATTTCACTTTCTTATCTGTGGTTTATTTCTACTGCATGGATGAACCATTAAACTATTGAAGATTTTCAAAATTCAAAATTTGGTTGACCAAGAAAAAAGATTTTAGAATTGATGTCAAATTTCAGCTTCACATAATAGTGGGTTCTATTTTTAGCTTAGGTGGTTTCTGACAGGAGAAAAGGCAAATTTACCTGAAAAATGTTGATGATTTATTCATAAGCAACTCAATAGTTGAGGAAGTGTCCTTCAAGGAGTCTTTCAAATTTATTTGTACAAAATTGATAAAGCATCAAAGAATGATGCAACAGAACAAGATTGATGGTGCTTCATTTGTTCAAGAAAGGAATTCATGTGAAGGATTTTTCTATGTTTAATTCAAGTCATCTTCAATGGCTAGGACAGACTAATTTCATTTGAGTTAACTTGATGAAAGGCCAGCTATGGATGCTTGATACCAAGTTTAATGATAATCCATTTATTTATTCATGAGAGGTCATTTACATGTATTTACATTTTTTGGTCTGGGTCAAGTGGCTAATCAAATATATTTTCAAAACATGAAATGATAATACTATCAGAATAAAATAAGGATACCCTATATTGATCTCACACTTGGCCACACTGAACTATTTTACACAAGAACCGGTTGATGACCCTGAATAGGTTTTGGACACAGAAAAGTATACCTCTTGTAGTTTCAGAGTTATGTTCTGGACAAAGTTTAAAGTGCAATAATTCCAAACTTAGGCAAGACAGAGTATCAGTTCTTTGCACTGCTCATCTACCCAATGATATCTATCTACCTGCAAAGTTTCTTGTTCATATCTCTTACAGTGTCAGAGTTATGGTTCTTTTGCACTGCATTTTTAACCAATAAGATCTATCTACCTACAAAGTTTCATGTTGATATCTCTAATAATTTTATAGTTATATCCCGGACAAAGTGCAAAAATGAACAAAGGGCAGTAACTCCAATATCAGACAAGGCAGTTATGGTTCTTGTGCACTGCACATCTACCCAATGAGATCTATCTACCTACAAAGTTCCATGTTGATACCTCTTGTTGTTACAGAGTTATGTCACAAGAAAAGCAAATGGACGGACGACTGGACTGACAGACAAAGCGGCGACTATATGCTCACCATTTGGGAAGTATAATAATAAAACTACCAATTATATGAATTAACAGTTGTTACTTCTGGAAAATTTTGGGAATTGGTTTCTGAGTTCCTAAAGCATGAAATAACTACTGCTAGCTCCCAATGGAAGAAATGCCCCACATTGGCTTAAGGCTGGGACATAAGATAACTTTTATTATCTTATGTCCCAGCTTAAGGTAACATTTTTGAAATGAAGATTATAATATACAGGTTGTCACTATTTACATTTTTTTTAAATAAACATTACAAGATACTGGTTGACAACTCTGCAGGTCAACAACATTTAAAATCCGGCAAAATTCACATTGGAGTGAACAGCAAAGGTGAACAGACAAGTTACAAAACAAATAATTTGACTATATTTTATTCTTATTGTTGCAAGCATATAATGTAAAAGCTGTTATATACTATAAATATGTGTAACAAATTTGATGTACATATAAGATCATTCAAAAATATTTATCAAACAATCTGCCTCTAAAGTTGATGAAAAACGGTGTATCCTTAATTAAATAAGAACATTATTGTGTGCTCTTAATTCATCCCCGTCTGAGTAGTCCACAACATTTCTGTTAATGCCACAAAGTCTCATCAAAGAAGTTTGTTAAGGAAGAAAACAATTGGTTATTTTCAAACATCAAAGTAAATTTAAAGTATCTGCCAAATTTCTTCAACACAGAATGTTTAGATTACAAAATAGTGTATCAAACTAGCACAGAGAAAATGCTTAAGGTAACAAATCATGGTTACCGTGGAAATATTAAAATATACCAGTCTTAAAATATTACTCTTACAAAATTAATAATTTCATGTCAACAGTAAATGGTGAACAGTAGGAAATTTGTTATTTAACAATGCACAGTACTGAAAATATTTCAAATTTCTTTCACCTTCCACCATTTACAACTCAAAAAGTCTGTCATATACATGTATAAAACATGGTCCTGAAAAAATGTTCTAGTTAGAAACAGAATGACGTATCTAAACTGATTTTTTTCCCACAAAATATTAATCACTTTTTGCCTGCATCCTGGAACATACAAGAGCAGGTGTCATCTAAAGAAACATGGTCGTGACCAAAGTAGGGCATGAATCACCAATCATTGGACAGGGAGACGAATTCCATAACCACTTAACAACGAATTCCATAACCACTTAACGTTTCTTTTAAATAACCATAGCATACCAATGTTTTCTTCCCCTTAAATTTCATTATTTGTGGGTTTTTTTGTTTTGTTTTTTTTTTACTTCAAATTTTGACAAACATGACATTATGGTATATTTTCAAATGACATTTCAAAGTGTGATAGGTGATATAATATAATTACATTTAATATACAATGTATGTGCATAATCATTTATAAAATGATGTTTATTGCAACATATTCTAACAAAATTAATTACTGCATATACTAAACCATGTTGGCATTTGAATACCATTATCCCGCTAAATATCTTAACTTAAATTGCCCATCTTTCAATCTGGACAAAACCAAAAACAAGTAATGACCGAATAGCGTATTGTGCCAACTATGATCAGATGGCACAGAAGTGCAGACTGACCTTGGTCTGCACTGGCTGCATAGGTAAAATTCAGTCACTGCAAGCAGGGTAAGAGTTAAGCTGGATAATGGTGAAAGCTTGAAGCTTATTTGAACTACACTAAAGGCTGTTTCCAGGAATAAACTGGTACCAGTGTCTTATGAAGATACACAAGACATGTGTAACCAGATTATGACTTGAACCCATGACCCTTTAGGCTGACAGGTAGACACTATTATCACAAGGCTATCATACCCCTTACTTAACTGTTTTAAGTTTTAAAACCTAATATTGTTCAAGGCATACAACTATGCATCTAAACTAAGCAATACATCTACAAAAATATACCAAAATAAGACCAAGATACTAACAAAGTGGCAAAACAACTACATGTATATTGTTTTTGTATAATCTTAACTAAAGTACAATACTCTCAAAAATGCTAGACTTTTAAGTATTTTAGTCTAAACTGAAAGACACACAAAATTGACACAAATAAAACAGCTTTACTTGAAAAAGAAAAATCAGCAGCAATTTTTCATAAACCGAAAGCACATGTTTCAGATAATTTTTAGATATAGCAATGTAAGATAATTACAAGAAACAATTATGTCTTGAGTGAACCAACAATCTTGCCAAATACAAACAGATATTTGTTGTGAGCATACTTATATACACATATACTGAAATTGTGTGAAACAAAACAGAAATAACAAGCAAATTCGTTGAATTTATATCCCCCGCCGAGTACTGGTTATTATTAACACAACAACTGAAGACATAAGGCTTTATTTATATATTAATCATGGCATAAACAGTAATATTCTTTGAACTTGATAAATACATGTATTCAGGGCAATAACAGGGCCATAACTTTGTGTTAAATAGTAAAATCTGGAAATGCCAATGAGATGTATGCATACTACATTACTAATCAAGGGCCATCAATCTGAGTTATAAGTATCTGACTGGAACAAGGCGACTATATGCATATCTCCTCTTAGTATCCCATAAAGTTTCATAGAATTCCAGCCAGTAGTAGCAGAGAAGTAGCGAGGAAACAAATATTTTTCTTTATGGATACTGCATAACTAATCAAGGGCCATAACTCTGAGTTAAAGTGTCTGACCGGAACAAGCCGACGATATGCGCATCTCCTCTTAATATTGAAGGTTCCCATAAAGTTTCGTTGAATTCCAGCCAGTAGTTGCAGAGAAGTAGTGCGGAAACGATTATTACTCTATATGCATACTACATAACTAAGCAAGGGCCATAACTCCGAGTTAAAGTGTCTGACCAGAACAAGCCGACGATATGCGCATCTCCTCTTGATATTGATGATTCCCCTAAAGTTTCGTTGAATTCCAGCCAGTAGTTGCAGAGAACTACTCCGGAAACAAAATTTTACTCCATATGCATATTGCATAACTAATCAAGGGCCATAACTCTAGAGTTAAAGTGTCTGACCGGAACAAGCTGACTTTATGCGCATCTTCTCTTGATATTGATTATTCCCATAAAGTTTCGTTGAATTCCAGCCAGTAGTTGCAGAGAACTACTCCGGAAACGATTTTTACTCTATATGCATACTACATAACTAAGCAAGGGCCATAACTCCGAGTTAAAGTGTCTGACCAGAACAAGCCGACGATATGCGCATCTCCTCTTGATATTGGTGATTCCCCTAAAGTTTTGTTGAATTCCAGCCAGTAGTTGCAGAGAACTACTCCGGAAACAAAATTTTACTCTATATGCATTCTATATAACTTATCAAGGACCATAACTCTTGAGTTAAAGGGTCTGACCGGAACAAGCTGACGATATGCGCATCTCCTCTTGATATTGATGATTCCCATAAAGTTCCGTTGAATTCCAGCCAGTAGTTGCAGAGAACTACTCCGGAAACGAAATTCGGACGGACGGACGGTCAGATGCGCATCTCCTCTTGATATTGATGATTCCCATAAAGTTTCGTTGAATTCCAGCCAGTTGTTGCAGAGAACTACTCCGGAAACGAAATTCGGACGGACAGACGGACAACGCCAAAACTATATCCCCCTCCCGATTCCATCGGCGGGGGATAATAAAACTAAAGAAGTGTTGTTTTTTTCTGCTATCAATACTATATTGAAATAATCTTCAAGATATTGGTATAATATCACAAACTGAACATTACAAATGTATATGACTAGATCACAGTATTATATTTATCATTTAACATATCATTACAAATTTACAAAAAACAGTTTTCTATGAACTCATTTTTTTAGAAGTGTGTAAGTTTACTGCCTACCAAACTTATCCTGAACAAGCTTTCAACCGTTTCAGAAAAAAAAGGTTTTGAACCTACTCACCATGAATATCATGGGTAGGTAACAATGATTTAACCTCAAGAATATGCTTATATATTTGTTAAAAGATATCTATACATTGATACATGCAATTACAATAAATTAATAACATTGGGAAATTGTTTTATTCCCCAATGATTATAATATGAAAATAGCTCCATTACCAGCCCAATCCCTGACAAAAAATTGAAACCGATACCCATTCCACTAAATGACTACAGAGTAACCTTTTTGTTGTTGTTTATGTTGGGTTTTAAGTCATATCGACACTTAACCTTTAAGGTCATGTAGCCCCACTTTCCAGCTTTATCACTGGAGCTAGACCTGGGGTCACTTTGACAGCTGGAAAGCATTTTTCACACAAATGAATCCAAAATCCCACAGGTCACTGACTTTGCAGAGATTCAAACCTAAAAACTTGACAGGCAAGTGTTTTACAGATGAAAAAAAAAAAAAAAAAAAAAAAAACAACAGCAAACAGATACAAAGTTAAAATCTGATGTATGAATACTTAATGACATCTTTAATGACATCTATATACGACATGCACTACAGAAATTAAACTATCGGGAAATAATTACAATTAAAATAAAAACTCTTTAAAAATAAATTTCATCTGATTAACTTTATGAACTTAAAAACAAAACAAGAGGTGTCCATAAACAGCACGCTTGACTATTCACAGTGCATGACATTAAGAAAATGGGCAAAACTCTGTATAAAAGGTAACTCAGAATAATGGAATCTGTGCCCATCATGTGAGAACAGAGAACAAGTGTAAGAAGTACCAACCTATTTCCTTAAGCAGTTGTGGAGATACCAACTTGCATGCAAAAACTTGTGAAGATACCAACTTACATGCAAAAAACTTAACCAAAGTGTGAAGGCAGTGCAAACACTGACCTGGCGTGAATACAATAGCCCTCCCTATTCACTGAATAGTTGTGCTAAAATTTGAAAAGAAAATACTGTTATAAAAAATTTTCACAAGATTTCAAGTTTTAATATTCTTACAGGGAGGACAACTTATAAAAAGATTTTTTTTACATATAAAGATAATAACATAAATAATGTCATTTACATTTTAAAAATTTAAGTTTGACTTATGATTCGTGATAGAGATGTAAATATATTCACATATTATTTTACACCTACATAAAACAAGAGCTGTCACAGGAGACAGCGAAGCTCGACTAATAAAATGCTGGACGCAGTAAGGAGGACAAAACTATGAAAGAAAAATCAATTATGTATAATTAAGTATTAAGTTATATTAGTAAAAATATAACATTTGTTAACATCAATTCCAAGATCATGGGGAATAATTCTAGAAATAGTCATGCAAGAGTTATGGACCTTGCCACACAACATTTGTGTAATGATAAGAAATATATATTTGAAGTTTGAAGTAGATATCTTAAAAAATAAAGAAGTTATTATATTTCTTAAAGAAAATCCTAAGTTCAAAGAGAGATAAATCTGTAAATATTGCTTCAAGAGTTATGAACATTGTCACATAAAATGTAAATGATTATAAGGAATAAGTATTTGAAGTTTGAGGTAGATACCTTTAAAAATAAAAAGTTAAAATAAAAATAACATTTTTCTAGTAAATAAATCTAAGTTTATGGGGAGATAATTCTTGCAATATTGGTGCTAGAGTTATGAACCTTGTCACATAAGATGTGGATGATGATAACGTAAATATATTTGAAGTATGAAGTTGATCCCTTTAGAAATAAATAAGTTACAGTAAAAAATAATATTTTGTATGGAAAATTCTAAGTTCAAAGGGAGATAAATCTAAAAATATTGGTGCTAGAGTTATGAACCTTGTCACATAAGATGGGGATGATGATAATGTAAATATATTTGAAGTATGAGGTTGATCCCTTAAGAAATAAAGAAGAAACAGTAAGAAATAGTATTTTTTGAGGAAAATTCTAAGTTCAAGGGGAGATAAATCTGAAAATATTGGTGTTAGAGTTATGAACCTTGTCACATAAGATGAGGATGATGATAAGGTACATATATTTGAAGTATGAGGTTGATCCCTTAAGAAATAAAGAAGTATCAGTAAAAAATAGTATTTTTTAAGGAAAATTCTATGTTCAAGAGGAGATAAATCTGAAAATATTGGTGCTAGAGTTATGAACCTTGTCACTTAAGATGTGGTTGATGATAAGGAACATATATTTGAAGTTTGAAGTTGATACCTTAAGAAATGACAAAGTTATAGTGAAAAATATTTTACTGCACCAAAACTTTAATCTAAAATCTGGACGCGGACGCGGACGCCGACGCCGACGCCGGGGCGAGTAGGACAGCTCTCCATATACTTCGTATAGTCGAGCTAAAAATGACTAATTTACAAAGGAATAAAAAAACAGCAAAAACAAACAAAAATGAGAATAATTTTGTTACTGCTTTTAAAAAAAGCTACGGTTTTTAAGATGTACTGAATATAATTTTGTTACAAGTTCGAAAAACAAGCTACGGTTTTTAAGATGTACTATGTATATTTAGTCAATAACGAATATTTAAGATCAGTTATTAATAAGCAAACTTACTACTATTTTGTATGCTGTCATGCAGATAATAAATTTCCTAACAAAAAAAAAAATAAAATAAAAAAATAGGCATAGAAAGGTATGGTATTGAATATCATAAATATAAAATTGGCTTATTTCTGGTATATGAGTTGGGTTATATATAATAATTATACAATAAGGTAACTTGTAGGATTCAAGCTTGAGGTACATGCGAGAATGATAATGTATTATTGTTGTTGAAAGTAGCCGTTATTTCCACCTGCACCCTGAGGGGGAAGCCCAGGGTAAACATAAGGCCATGCATACATTGGGTGCAAAGGAGCCGACTGTAGACTCGTGACTGATATGTTACTACTGACAGGTGGCGTTGCTGCAGACGACGGCGCACTGGTTTGTCGTACCTGGTTTTCTACAGATGGACTCATCGTATTATGATGACTGTTCATTTGTGTAAGCTGGTAGGCATTGGAACTTGGGGGCTGCGACTGGGCACTTTGGTTATGTAGATTCAATGGTAAGATCTGGTCGTCAGAATGCGAAGAAATCTGCGAAGTATCAAGGGTAGAGAAGTTAGGCATGTTTGGTTGATATACATCATGTTGTGGGTAATCATCCCGGTTATTATGAGGAACTGGACTAGGATTAACAGACGACTCATTGGAATTTTCATGGTAATAGTCTGCTTTTACTTTCTTTGATGAATCAGGGTATGCTTCATCATGTTCAAAGGTAAGTGGAACCATCGAAGGCACATTGTAAGCACTCCTTGCAGGTTTCGCTTCATTTTTTACATAAGGTTTTCCCTTGCGGGGTTCTCCTTTAGTATGAACTTTCATATGGACACGCAAATTATCAGCTCGAGATGTTGCCTTGCCACATATATCGCACACAAATTTCTTAACACTGCAGTGAACTGTTCTCATATGCTTAGACAAACCACCATTGTCAGGAAAGCAGTGATGACAGATACCGCATTCAAATGGTTTGAGTCCTGAATGCCTTTTCTCATGAGCTTTGCACCTCTCTTTAGTCTTAAACGCTTTCCCACACTGGGCGCAGCAGTAAGGCGAGTCTTCCTTGTGAACATATTGGTGACTATACAAGGTCGGATACGTTTTAAACGATTTATTACATACTTTACATGTGTACTGTTTATCATCCCTATGTATTGCCCTATGCATTTCTAGCGCTGATTTATACATGAACTGGCGACCGCAGACGTCGCACATGAATCGGGAGCCGTCTAATGAATGCCGTTTTCTATGTGCACGAAGTAGGAACTCCGTCTTGCACACTTTCCCACATTCCTCACAGTTGAAATTACCAGGTTCTGTATGTTTGGACATGATATGATACTTTAAGGCCTGAACATTTACAAATGTCTTTGCACATTGATCGCAATTTACCCTCTCCTGTTTCTGATGAGTGGCTTCATGCATTTTAAGGCTTGTTGAATATGAGAACATTTTACCACACACTGCACATGAGAAACTCTTTGCAGAATGAGTAGCCATAACATGGACTTTCAAGTGATATGCTGTTAGGTAGGTCTTTCCACACTGGCTACACATATGCGGCCGTGTTCCTGTATGTTTCAACTTGTGAAGACGCAAGCTGTGATTAAAGTTGAAAGTAGCTTCACAGCCTTGCTCCGGACATTTATAGACCTTAAGGTTCTGGTGGACCCCTCTCCTATGATGATACAGTGAATCTTTACTTGTAAACGACTTGCCGCAAATCTCACACTGATAATCCTGCCCTCCGACTTCATGGTGACTGGCATAATGGCGTCTTAGAGCACGCCTAGACTTATACTCCTTCCCACATTCGATACATTTACAAGTATTTCCATCTGCTGGCTCGTAACTTGGGTCAGCAATAGCCTTCCTTTGAGGTGAAGCTTTAGTGTCTTTTTCCTCTCCTTCAAGGTCAGTATCACCATCATAATCATCCTCCTCTATCTCTTCCTCTTTCTCAACTTTTTTCGGTTTCTTAACCTTTTTTATCTTCAGCCTTGTTGTTTTTTTGTTCTTCTTCAATCCTTTGCTAGTCTTTTTCACAAAGGATGACGATTTTTTCTCTTTAACTTCATCTTCGTCCGATAATTCAGTCAGTTTCTTTGGTTCTGTTTTTCTGGGACGACCCCTTTTCCTTGTAGAGACCTCTTGCTGAAGATTATCTTTATGAAGGTTTTTGATATGCTCTGCTAGTGCAACCTTTGTGTTACAGATATGTTGACAAATCGAACACACATAAAAATTTCCAATGTCATGTGTTATCTTTAAATGCTGCTCAGCGCTATCTTTTTCGGAGAATTTGGCTGGACAAAGTGGACAACATACATCCTCTGGTTTGTTACTACGTAGCCGCTTCTGTGGTTCAGAGGGGGCGACGGGTGATTGTGGCATCACCTTGGTAACCTCTTCATCATCTTCTCCACCAGACACATTCTCCACTTCTTCATCTTGTTCAATTTTTACCTCAACAAAATTATCTGAAATTAAATTACATTTTTTGTTTACATATTTTTAGATGATTCAGGTATGTACATTTTTTTAAACCATAAAATCTGCCTTACTTTTTTAATGTTTTTAATAACAGATCTACATTTGCCTTATAAAAATACTTTCTATACCATAATAATTATGTATTTGCTTATCATTCTTTCTTATGCATACATTGTTTCAGATTAAATTTTAGCCAATAAAATCTTTACCACACCTACATGTTGCTGTTTGTTTTTTTCTTGAGCTCATAATTACTATCATTATTTATAACATAAACCCTTTCCCCTGCTGGAACTAAAATTGGAATGCCCTTCCACCAGTATAGAGCCAGGCAAGCCTGTACATCCATGCAATCTGACCAGGTTCTATACAGTTAGATGACCAATTTTAAACTTTAAAATATCCATAAAATTGATAATGGACAGTTCAAAGAATGAAACCTGGACAATTCCATTAAGACATTTCGCAAGTTAAGGGTTAATTGATAAACAATTTCAACTATAGAAGAAAGTACATTACCAAAGACATTCATTAACTTGCTCTCAATGTCTATAATGGCCATGTCTTGCTTAGAGTTTGGAATTGTCCATAGCTAATAATCAATTAGTGGAATTTGGATATCAAAATGCTTAAATTTAGTATCCAGTTGTAAAGTCAGCTTATGTTAAACAAAATTGCAAACTAATATGTCTTTATAACTGCAATATAAATCAATGCAAATGGTGAGACTAACAGGCCAACAAAAGAAAGCATTCAAAATGCATAGAGAATGGATATAATGGTTATAATCAATACTTAATTACCTAAACCTACTTTCTGAGAAACTGCTAATACCCTTTCTGCGACAGTAACGTATTTAAACATATCATTTTTTCGTTTCTCCAAAAGCCGACCCTATTTTACCAAAGAACACCCAAAACGTAATAAAACATGTCAAAATTTTTTATCCTTAAAAGCGGATATTGTTTTGTCGTAGGAAACCTGGCAATATTTCATCACATTATTTTGCATTAGCTACTTTGAAAGCATTTTTCAAAAGATGGTAAATAAAATGAATGTTTTAAGAAATAAGTTTTTTTTTAAAAGTACTATGTCATTTTTATAAAAATCAGCTTAAGAGTGTCACTGATTGTTTATTAAACATATTATTGGAAAATAAAATTGGTTATTTAGTTCAAATCGATTTTAGGTAAAGTAAGCTACAAATACTAACTTATTTAAACCATACATTTTTCTATTTAACTAATAAGGCTTCTAAAACATGTTTCTACCTTATAGTAGATATGTTTGTCTCAACTGCTAAAACCTTATTTATGACATTTTTCTAAAGACAAGATGATTAATTATTGCTTATTAGATTAATCATTTTTACGGAATTCTACATTTCAGTCATTTAACGGTAACTTCTCATTTACGGTTTGACACGTAGTGGATATTATATTTATCTATACCGCATAATACCCGTGACATAGTAAAACATATTTTCGTCAAAATGTGCATTTATAACTATCTGAGATTTTTATTTCAAAGCAAACAAACACATATCCCCATAACGTAAAATGATGATGTTTTCAATATTAACGATGGACAACCATATTGTTGAAATACGGTATATTCCTCGTTCGCCAGAAAGTCTGAACCGTATTTATGCGTAAGATTTATCAGAAATTACGCTTTACAAGACTTCACTTAATTCTTTTACACTGATTTCCGTTACAGTTTTTAAGACTGTTGAAAAAACACACATTTTATTACGTTTCGGGTTTCCTTCATTTATTCAGACCCCGCTTTTAGGGTTTGGAAGATTGTGCACGGTTTAAAACGTTACGGGTGTCCGTCCGAAAAAGAGGGTCGGTCCTGGAAAGGAGATAACTACTTTTGTCAGAAAATTTCTGCAATACCATTTTACATAAAAATCTCACCTTTTTCTAGTTTTGGTGCAGGTGGCAATTCTTTTTCATCTACTTGTGTCTCCCTGTCAACAAGTTCCTTTATGTTAGTCTGAACTTCTTGATGGCATCTTTTGTACAGGCATTCATCAGACCTTAAGGCAAATCAAAACAACATGTGTATACTTTCAACATTTACACAAGCAGATAATAAGGTGGTTAACAGAAAGGTTAACCCTGAGAGGTCAATTTTGATTAAGTACTAAGTCTTGGAAATAGCCAACAAGTAATTAATTAAACTTTGCCATCTACCAGAATCTGGCCAAACTGCAAGTCTGGTAGAAGTACTATTAGTACCAGTTTAACAACAACAGAGGATCAGATGACCAAAATCTGGTTCCAAAAAGTGACCGATTTTAAAAATATGTTCTTTGAAGACAGAAATCTTAACATTTTTTTAGATTTTTATAAAAGGTGCCAGACCAGACCTTGCCATCAATGAAGTGAGTGGCATTAGCTTTCCATGCATTTTGTATAGTTGGGCAAATAAAGAATATACCTATCAATTGTATGTTCAAAAGCATATTCATATTCTGTGAGTGAGTCAACCAACAGAGTGAATCTTGTACAGAGACGAATGTTCTCGGAGAACTCGATGTTCTTGAAACAGTCCAATCCAATTATATGGACAATGGCTTTCTGGGCTACAGGATTTAGATCCATCTTGCACCTGTGTTGACTTGTTCAGTCTGTAATAGAGAGAAGGGGAACTGAATATAATAAATTTTACAATAATGAGTGTGATTCTGAATAACAAATAACAAATAGAATAAAATCATAAATATATGTAAATAAGTCTTTGGTTTATATAGAATTTTTTTTAGTTTGATTGTGTAGGAAGCTATAAGCTTATAGACACACTTTCGAATTTGTTCCTGGAACCAATCAGTACTGAGCAATGAGTGTTCTTGTTCCTTGCTCAAAGAAACAATGACTTGCCCATGACGGGGTTTGAACCCTGCGGCTAGCGATCATTAGATTACAAGTCAGATGAGTTAAACACTTGGCCATGTGGCCACTAAACAAGTCTTTATGTCAATTTACATTTATGAAAAGAAAATCACTATTACTGCATCTGTGACAATGAATTATGACATCAGTTTCTATGGCAAAGAAAATAATAAAGATAAATCTGATTCACAGTTTGTGCAACAATGTAAAAATGCTTATAAATAAATAATAACTTGTTCATTTTAATGATAATTTTACAACTTGTCATATTCAAATCACTTCAATAATTAACATATGTTGCCACTGATTTCTGAAGGCTTAATTGTGTATTGAATTAAAATGTGATAAAATAAGGGTACCAAGTGAACCTCTATTACTCAACTGAGTATACAGGTTAAAATATGTTACATAACTTTTTACTACAATACTACCAACCAAATAGTTTTGTTTCTGGTAATATTACATGAGTTGTTGTTTTTTCAAGTTTTTTTTTAAGTATTTTTATATAGCTTCTAGCTGATGCAGTACAAGAATTTAATGAAAGGAAGTTTCAGGTAGTCCATCAGATGAGATATTGTGCTATTATCTGTATGGGCAATATCTCTCCACTACAAAAGTGAGATTCTGACCCAGAACCAATTAAATATCTCAGAATATAGCTTTGGCACATTGATAATTTTTGACTTGGGGTCCAAGCCCCATGTAACAAGGATATAGTATTTCTCTTTTATACGCTTGATTTTTACTTCCATTCTTTTAAAATTGGTATCAAATCAAGCAGATGTATAAATGAGACAAAATCTAAGTACACGTCAGTTCAGCAATATGTATAAAAAGTTTTCAATTTTTAATCACTCTCACCTGTGCATTGTCAAAACATGACCTTATAATTAAACATTGGGGGATTCCATCCTTGCGCGCATGTGCAAAAAAACTTACATTTATGAGGCCTGTTAAAGGGTGTTCAACTAGTAACGCCTGAGTACAGACAAGTGCGCAATTAGATGAAAACCTGTTTAATTATCGGAATTTTTACCTATATTATTATTATATTAAATAATTTTATGACTATACAAGCACACTATTGCATGTGAATGCGCTTGGGTGACAATACCGGGTAATTGGCACCACAGGGATCATTTTGTGTCAGACTTTGCATGAGATATTTTGCCCAATTGCTAAACTTTTATGAGATTTTTCAATATTTGGTGAGATTTTAGTATATATAGTGAGAAAGTCAAATCAATAAGAAAAAGTAGTACATAACTTTATTTATTCAAAACTTATGACATTCTTACAAGACATTTCATTCATTCAATGCAATAATTTGCTCTAGCCTTTTCATGTTTATAGATGTACAATTTAAGTCAGCAATAATAGCTGGGCCCCTCAATTATAATTCTCTTTAACATGCCATATAATGATATACTATTACATATGAAGGTGTTGTAATGCTGTTTTGTACAGAGAAGCTATGTATACTTTAAATCTGCACAAAATACAGAACATGCAATCTTTTACATCCTTAATAGATAACAAAGCAATTGATGAGGAAAAAGCCATTTGAAATTTCAGTTTTTTTCGCTACTATGGTTTCTACTGGGGGTTTATGCTCACATCTGATGTTTACCTTCATCATTATTTTGATCCAAACTTTTATACTGAACAAACTTTCAATTTATCAGCAGACAACAAATTTTCTTCATCGCGAAAACAAGATACATTAAGACGGCATTAGCATGATCTTGAGAGGCTCTTTACATCATATGCAAAGTACTCTTTTTAAAACTCACAAAGAAAATTAAATAACAGAAAGGCACTTTTTTATCTGCCTGTGGTTTGAGATTTTGATTGCTATTTTTTGCCAAATTAAGGAGTTTTTGTGTGATTTTGGTCAAATAAATGCAAGTATATCATCGAATCACGGCCCTATATGATCCCTGGTACCAGCATTTAGTCTTCACTCTATATCATGAATTACATCTATTTTCTACTTGGAAAATTGTCTCAATTATAACAATTATAAATGAAAAAATGTCTGATATAACATTGTACAATTATAACTGGTTATATTTTATGCACAGTAAATACTTCGCTTCAGACAAAATAATGGATAACAACTGGATAATTTTGGTACCCCATATCAGGCCTCATAACTAATGGTTTATCTATGTTATTGAATTTCCATAATTTGTGTGGCGAGCGGAATATTGATTTTTATTACATGCTTTCCGGTGCTTTATAGAAATATATCAGTGATAATTTCACTGGTAATTTCACTGTTTTAAACAGTGAAATTATCAATTTGATAATTTCACTGCTATGAATTTAAGCCCCTTACATTGTTTCAGTGATATACCAGCGTGTACAGTACTGAGAACCAACTTAATAACATGACGACACGTCGTAAATGACGTCACGTTGTATTATTATTTGGCGCGCTTTTCATTCAGTATTAGGTTTAATGTCTTTTTTAAACGTTTCTTTGCATATAATAAAAAGAAAATTTGTTTAGTTGAGTGTAAGATCGGAATATATTTCACCTTGTGAACACCAAAAGTTCATATTTCACTCGTGGCTGCGCCTTTCGTGAAATATACCTTTTGGTGCTCACTCGGTGAAATATATTTCTATCTTACACTGAACTAAACAAATATCCTCTATGTAACATTCCTTTTTTTTTTGTGATTGAGCTTTAAAAAAAATTTTTTTAGTAACTATGATTTTTGTACAGGAACTGCTCGCATCACTGTGCATGCCAGGAATGTTGTCTAAGTTTTTCAATTTTTTGCCATATTGCCATGTCACTGATATTTAGCCATAAAAAGTTAAGTGAAATAAATGAGGAAAACCCGATAACAATGTACTTTGTGATAGAAGAACTAAGTGCATTAAACTGATAAACAATTATCTGCGCTAATAAGATAAAAATATATATAGTTCGAAATGTCTCTGGTGCGAATATAACCGGAAAAGTACGAAACAATATCCGGATGTCCAATACTAAATCCGAGAAATAAATAAACTTTCGTTGACAGTAAACTGATCATTATAAGGCAGATACTCACCTTGTTCCACTTATAAGCTTTCACATCGTTTCAGGGCTCCCATTTTAGCAAGCAAATGTGGCACAAAATGGGACAAGAAACACACATTATTTGACCTAGACCTCACCGTGCGCATGCGCTCTCAAACGCATTTGGGCAGCTGCTGCAAACTGTTTATAGTCACGTCGAGCAGCTAATATTTGTTTTATAGGTATGAAGCAACTAATAATTTTAAAGGTCTATAGTCACATCAAAAATGTATGGGTCAGTAAGCTATGGCAATATTTCAAATACTGATTCTTTTCTAGGACAATTTTTTATACTTCTTATTATCCTTCTTACTAGTGAAGTGCAAAGTCTAGTCTAGGTCCCCAGCAGGGGTGTGACTAAACGGGAGATAGGCAGCCAAAACATGTTAAATATTAAGCACAATGAAACTGTATAATAGATGATCTTGAAATACAATAACAGAAACATTTTAAAATGGGTGGCACCAAGCACATTTTCATGTTATCTATACCCTATGTGTAAATAATCAACAGAATTCTGCAACATATCAAACTTATATCTCGTCAAAATGACATCACACTTACTAAATCAGAGAAAGTAACCACTGCAAAGTTATTTCATAATGTTCAGGACAACTTATTAACCATTTATTCATAATCCTTGTATGGAAATTAATGCAAAAAGGCTGAAAAGATGTGATTGATCTCATAACACGCTTTTAGGATACCTCACAATAGGGCTTAGAGGTTGAGATTGTTTCAATGTGTATTATTACACAAATGAAATGGAATCCTAGGAAATTTTGTATTGTGACAAAGAATGAAAGACAAACCAGTAATTTTTTTTTCAGACCTGGCATATGTATCAGTTATCTGCCCTTAAAATAAGCATATTTTTCAAATTCAAGGGTAGATATGGGTGATCACAATTTTTTTCGCTTGAAATGTGTCTGTTATCATGCAATTTTGAAATTAATTTAACAGTACTATACAGTTATCATTCTGCTTATAGTTATGTCTATATATCAATATACTGCATAATTGCCTTCAAATTGCTTCAAATATCAATAGGCCTGTTTAGCTACAGAACTTTTCATTGTCATTGCAAATACTGTGTACATAGATGATATTTATGTGCATTTAATACACTTGTTACTATATATAGTAACAAAATTGTCTATGATTTCAACTGATTATGAGTGTCACGTGACCTATTATGAGTTTGCGGCCCGGGGCCGAGAACTAGTTATCAGCCCGCAGAACATGTGCACGTGCACAAACTGAAACAATGACGTCATATTTTACGTCATCAAACAGTTAACTGTAAAAGTGAAAGTAGGTTGTCAGCACGAATCGCTTTATTTTTATTATGAGAGCTTAAGCGTATTTAGTACAAACACATTTTTGTTACTATTGAAATTTAAAGAAATAATACGACAAATTCATTCCGAAAAAAAAAATGAAAATAAAACTTGCTTCTTGATTCTACTGCTTTGAACACACAAACAGTAAACATCTCTGTACAGAACAGTAGAAGAGTAGACAAGAATTTCAAGGAAAGAACTTCAAAGTCTATTAAATTTTGTTTTGATTTTTTTTTTAAATGCTACTATTAGATCTACCAAGTGTATTAAAGACATTAATACACGTCAGCGTAGGGCCGGAAGGTGATAATCGGCCCTGAATGAATAATGACCCTCGGGCTAAAGCCCTCGGGTCCATTATTCATTTTGCGGGCCGATTATCATCTTCCGGCCCTCTCCTGCCGTGTATTAATCTCTTAATACATTAATTTTGTTTAATAAGGAAAACCTAAAACATTTTGGGATAAAACTGAGTAGAGAAAAATGTGTTCTAGCTAGCTGTTATATAACTCACATGCTTTGTTAGCATGACAAAATTTAGTACTGGTATTTTTCTGGTTTCAAAGCTTAACAATCTCATTTTTTGTAGTGTTTCAAGAGGATCTGTTCAAATCAGTCATCCAGTTGTTGATTTTTTTTTGTAACTCTGGAATTTTTGTACTTTCTTACAATGATGTAGGTTTTATTTTTGTTACAAATCACCTATTAACATTAGTTCTACAACTTTGAACTAGATATTTGGTGCAAGTATATTCATTCCTTTGTTCAAACTTTGACAAAGTAATACATTGCAATTTTCAAGCTTTTATTTCTGGGAAAAATTTGAAAAGAATTATTTCAGGACTAAACTCCGCACATGGGTAGAACCATTAACCTTCCACAAGCTAGACAGACTGATTTCCTCACAGGACACATACAAAATCAACATGACATGTGCATGGCAGTTTCAATATCAGTATTGTAAGCTTTAAATGTGATTGATTCAAACACTGAATCTTGTTACAAAATGGGAAACGCAGTGTTACTTCATTATCATTTAAAGAAATAGTAAACTTTAAAACAAACAAAGAAAACAAAGACAATGTCATGTAATAAAATGTTTATTGTTATATATTTATGTAGTTAAGCTATAACATAGTTCTCTCCCCTTTGTTCTTACCAAACATGTATATATTAATTACAATCAATCCTAACTATAAAACATTGTACTGAAAACAAAACCTCTTCTAAATATTTGTTAAGTCTGTTCAAAAATGCTGTTACAGAGTGTATATGAATCGTATTTGGAGGATTAAGCATTGAGATTTTATTTTCAAATGTTGTAAACTTGTGGTTTTCAGTATCATGTTCTGCCATTAGGTTAACATTTCACTTGTTTTTGTTCTTGCTTATAGTATCAATTTTTAATATTTTTCTTACAAAAATAAAAATCCAAAACAAATAGAAATAAAACAAACTAACATAATTTAATATTAATAAAAAAAAAAACGATGAAGAGAAAAAAAATTGAGACATGATTCAAAAATACTTTTTAGTTTTATATTTTGTTCACTTTTGTTGAGATGTTGGTTATTCTGTTTAAATTTTGACTCATTTTTTTAAAAAAATAATAAAAAAAATTACTACAAAGAAAAATACCATACATGTAAAACAGCTGAACCAAATTGTAACTGTTCAAAATGATTGGTCAAAGGGAGATAACAAAAGAGGAAACTTGTTGCTGAGAAGCTAACAACAGTTAACACAAATAAATAAATATCAGGAATAAATAGAAAAGACAATATACAAACATACTACTTACAAAAACACAAATGTTACAAGTAACTAAAATTAGTAAAATCAACCAGCCTTCAAATACTTTTAAATAAAGATTATTTCTTTATTTCTCTCTCTCTTTTATCAAGAATATTTGTCAATATGTTTCAAAATTTTCCCTATCAATTACTTTAAAATTGTTAAAAATCTGTTTAAATGAATGTACAGAAAATATGCAATTCTCTGTCATACGCTAAGAAAAGAAAACAAAATTTGGAAATGAAAGAAATTTGAAACCAGTAGAAGAAATTTAAAACACAATCTCTTTAAAAACATAAAATTCACATAAATTTTAAAAATCTTTTCAAACTTTCCATAGAATATCTATTTCTCTTTTCTTGCACCACCAGCATTCATTTAAAAATAAAACTGCTTTGAAAGATATCTTTCATGCACATTTTCCCAAGTAAACATCAATTTCTTATACATCTCATTTGAAAACAACCCACCTTATTACTGTAAAAAGATCACCATTGCTGATTCCTTAACAATTTTTTTGAATTTTTATTAATTTTCTACGACATTAGATAATTATATTCCTGATAAGAGACAGTATAGCACATTTTATTTTTGGATTTTCACGATCGCATTTAAAAGACTTTTGTTGATTTACATAATTTAGTTGGACTATGCTACAATATATACACACAACAACAAGAAATAAATAAGCTATAGCACTCTTACAATTATTGTATCATATACTTAAAATGCCTGTCAAGGCCTTAAAAGAAATTGATCAAAATTGCAAGTTAAATGTTTTTTTCTTCTGTTTTCATCAATATTTACTTCAGATAGTATTTAATTTACCTTTCTGATAAATGAAACTTTTTATTTAAATTTTCCTTTCAGCATACATAATTTATCTTGGTCAATGAAAATCCTGGGGACATCATGGAACAAGATGTATATGTTACATACACTAAAAACACTCACACGGCAAAGCACATAGACAAGAAAAACAGATAGAAGACAGATGAAGAGATGACAGACAGACAGACAGATATAGGAAAAGCTACAGAAATCTTTCTATCGAAATTCATTTTGAACACATACACACAAAAAATCGAATCTCCTCAACACCTCACATTCCCTGTTTTCATTAAAAAGAGTTCATTTCACACATGTCATATTCTTGAATTTCATATATGCTATCCTTTTTTTTTCTTCATACTAATATAAATATTTCTAATATATCTCTGGTGTAATATCTCTGTACAACTATACAGTAGCGGGTGGGGTAATTTACAGGTGGTGTTGTGATGGTGTATTTACACAGACCTGCCTTGAATATATATACAGTAATGTACAGAGCTGGATGAGCACTTAACAGTTACCATGCTAACAACAGTAACATCACCATGGCAACAACGTTTATCTCTAAAAACGTAACAAAAGTAAAAAAATGGTAAAACAAAAACAGAGTTTGCATTTCAGAACAAGACCTTGGTCCCTTTCATAATATTTTCCATGCATTTGATGCAAGTCTCTTTTATAGTTTTTTTTTATATATATTTTTTTTCTATTTTGTTGTAATTCCAAGTTTTATTGGATGGAATCAAACCATAGCTGCCTTTTGACATCTGGTCTATATGCAGATGACTCAGTGAAAAGTTTATGATAATTAATGGGAGACTAGGCTTCAGTTTGCATTAAAACTTCAGTGGGCGAAATCCAGGGCGACTTCTGCCTTCACCAGCCCACGACTTGGACTTTGTTCTGAAATGTCGGAGATCTTCACTGTGGTCCTTGTGTAACATAGGTTTGTACGTCTGTGGCTGACAATACATCTGGAAGAGAAAAGCAACATCATTAAATGTAACATGAAGTGATTCTTGGTTATATCAGTACTGTGAAATAATTTCTCAGCTGCAATTTAAAAAATAAAATTTTACGCAATAATAAAACTTGTGATATATTAAACCATCTGCCGGTCTAATATAGCTTTCCTATTCAAAGATTTATAACTTCTTGAGGCAAAACAAATTTTAAACTCTAAACTGTCAGGTATTTGTTTAAGTATCTAAGAAACATGGCACTGATTTATGAACTTAAATCATAAGAAATTGATTTTTACCTTTTCAGTTTCAAAGTAAACTTTGTAGCCACCATCAAGCAAATAAATTTCAGGATAGAACAGATGTGGATAGCAGTCTTTGTTCGCCTGTCGGTCACTCTTGCGCAGAAATCTCGACATTTTTGGGCCTCGCTCAGAGGAAAACTCACAGTGGAATACAAGGACTATTCTTTTACTGGGATCTTGTGGTTGCATTGGGTTCTTCATGAATTCATTGATTATACGCTCGTGGGTGTAGAGATTCAAAGCTCCCTAAAGAATAAAATTACTTCGGTCAAACAATGGTATTTAATAGCTTACAACAAAGGAAACATAAATGTTTTGAATTTGTTTTTCATGTTTTTTTCTTAAGTAAATTTATATCAAATTTTGACAAAACTGATATAGAGAAATTCAATTTCTACTTTTTCTTGAATTAGCTGTTAGTGTCACACAGTCATGTGACACTTTTCGTGTCACACAGTCATGTGACACTTTTCACTTTAAACTTGAATACATGTTATATAATAATATAATTATATGTTTATAATAATAATACTAATAATTCTCACCTCTATATGACCACCCTGGTACTCGTATGGATATCTACAATCCACAATAACAGCCTTTTCAATATCGTCGGCAAAATCACCTCTGATAACCTTTGACAATGTACTGCTTGAGATATATTTCAGGTCCTGATGTTTACCACCGTATGTTGGCAGACAGTGAGTCTAGAAAAAAATATATTGAAAACAACCATAAATATTGTTATGTGTTGAGAAAATTTCAAAGAGAAAATAAGAAAAATTATTTATAAGATTTATGTAACTTGCTGAAATGATTTCATTGCAAAAACTACATTTATTGAAGTATCTGTCCAAACAGGTTGCATAATATTATTCACTTTGTTACTTTATAAAAATGTGGAAAAAATTGAACCCTCAGGAGCATTAACTACAACAAAATTAAATGAAAGTTGCAGACTCAGTTAAAAGCCTATTCAAATTCAACAGTAATTTAAGCTAAGTAAATCTAAAGAGCTAAAGAAAATCTTAACAGAGAAATGTATTATTGCATACCTTGGAGCAATCCCCTACAAGATCTGGCTCATCAGCTTGTCTGTTCAGTGCTGATTTAATCATTGCCTCTGACTCGGAGTGACATCTGTGTAATGTAGGTCTGACTGGGGCCTGCAATAGTAAACATACATCTACAATAATCAAAACAGTCAATATCATTCTTGTAAGACTACATAATCATCAATATGTCTGTGCTAACATATGGGAAATACCATAATACAAGAGATCTCTTTTTTAGCAATAATAGGAAATTTAGCTGTTATTTGTTTGTAGGTTTTTAAACCAATTGCAAATTGAGCTACTTCAATCTTGTGCTACAATTACTTCAAATGGTAAATAAATATAATTTTAGGTTCAAAGAAACTTACAGGTGATACAGGGGAGGCAATCATTGATGATGGTCGAGGTCTCTTCTGTTTTTGTATGGGTGTGCTCTCGTCTTGGGGTTGATCACGTTTGAATGAGAACTGCATGGGAGAGTCACAAGCATCATCTGGTTGGTCTCGTTTGTAAGAGTTACCATGTGGACGTACCACCATTGACATTGAGCGGCTAATATTTCTTCTGCATATAACACGTCGACTCTGAAATATAGAATTTGCAAAAATTAGCTCACATTATTTAAATCAAATATAAATTAAATATCAGTTTTTTTTGTTTTTGTTTTTCCTAATTTTTTCCACAAATGAAAATTACTTAAATATTGGTGAAAATTCAAACACATTGTTATGACAATAACAACAAGTGATTGTGAAATAATTCAACATTCGTACCAAGATGTGATAAAGATAAAAGGCAAAGTAAACTAAAGCTTACCACAGGGGTATCATCATCTTCAATGCTGGCGTGGGATTTGTTGATAACTGGTGCATTAAACAAACTCATCATAGCTGAACTGGTGCTTCCGTGTGTTAGTGCGGCAACCTCAGCATCTGGCTCCATTATCTGGAGGAACCCATCACCACCGATACCCTCATCCACGCTTGTCAACCTACACACCTTCAATGGGCTGTCACCTTCATCTGATGAGGTCTTCTTCACAAATTCGCCAGAGAAATCCTAAAATACCAATAAAGGCAGCATGTTAGTAAAATGATGGCTCATAATTAACCAGCAATAAATAAGAGTGACTGGTGACTATTTTTTACAATTCACTAAGCTACTTTATTACTTTACTGTACATAAAAAGATCAAATTATTCAATTTTCTTTGACAAAACATTATTTCTCGAGTCAGGCTCCACATGTTATATACCAAAATAGTGAAAATAGCTCTTAAACAGAAGATAATTGCTACTTACCAAGACACCAACTGGACATGAGTTCCTGCGTTTTGAGGGAGAACAATTCTTCACAGGGGAGTACTTAAAGGGGGAGCATGTGTCTTCACTAATCATCTTTGAGTGTTTTCGGATTGGGAAACCTTTTGGAGCAGCAAAGTGAAATCCATCCTCCTGAAAAACAAAACATCCATAAAAAATCCAATATCAATTTTTGGTTGTTGTTGTTTTTTAAAGTCTAAAACTGATGGTGTTTTAAAAGCAAATTATTTTCATTTCTTAACTCATTTTTTTTTTAATTATATAGTGCACAAGATATCCGAGTATAATTTCCTAGAATTTCACAGCATTTTTTTTGTTAACAAGTTGCTTATAAAAATATATTAGTACTTACAGAATCTTTGGAATCTCTGCTATCTGTCCTATCAGCTTCGAGACCACTGTCCTGTGAACATTCATCAATATAGAACGTGGCTTTCCTTCCGTTCCTCGATGTACCTGAACCGTCACTTCCCACGCTCATGTTTTCCGATGAAGTCTGAAGATCAGAGCTGACATCTGTTGGTGAGTCGGTGCTCATGTTGAGAAGTCCACAGCAAGTACTGGTAGCGGATTCTATGTCGATACTCTGTGGTGTTGACTGGTTGGCAATCAGTGGATTGTTCTCGATGTTCTCTGGACTAAACTTCATCATCGGCACTGGCATACTGTTGATTCTTCTAAACGCAATTGACTTCCTCCTGTGAACAATATAAATACATTAATCTAACAGTCAAAAAATAAGAAAGAAAATGATTAAATAAATCTTTCAAATATATCATAAATATTTCACAGAAACCTATAAATAAAACAGCAAAATTCAATTTAAAATTCAGTCAATTCAATTTTATCATTGAAAATTTTCATCAAGTTCATATTTTCAAAATAAATTTTCCATTCCCTCATACCTAAATTTTCTATTTGGAATAAGTTGAAATTACACAGAAAATATTTTTTTGCAAAAAAACTTTTCTTACACATCAGACTGTACACTCACAGAGAATTGTCAGACCTGTATACAGTAAAACACAGAGGTCTAGTCTGACTGGCTACTGTGTGTATGTGTGTGTATGTGTGATTTATGATTCTGAACCAACAGCAGCAATAAACAAGAGTGTCACACAGTTACATCAACAGTAAAGAACCTCCAAGACAAAGATAACTATGGGATTTTATGGCAGGGTGTATTCTGCTACTGGTATATATACATACATCACCACCAATTGATATGCTTGCAAATTGCAACTGTGACATGCCAATTAAGTGGTTACCTGTAAGTTTTACTATGTCTGAGATGATAATTGACAGGAACAGTTAATAATTAGTAACTTACCAAAAACTGACCAATTATTATAATCAAAAGTTTGAAAAACTGTACTTATAATGAGTAATTAATTAATGACTTTAATGACATAATATTAATTGGAAAAAATATATATAGGGAGAAAAAACTATATATTCAAAAATAATATCATTTTTATAGGAAAGGATGAAGACATTCTAAATCTTGTCAGGGGATTTTTATCTGATGCTGCTTCAGACCCCTACTCAAGAGATCCCTTGGATTTCATATGTAACCAGATCCCTAATTAAGATATGAAGGGGCCAAAAACAAGATGCAAGCACCTGATTACATGGGACTGTGCAATACTCAGTAACTTCTCACCATTCATATCTAAGATAAGAATTATTTTTATTTGCCATATGTACCCAATCAATACTATTTGATCTCCAAATAAATATTCACATATACAAAAGTCCTGATTCAAGAGTTATTCCTACTTAACAGATGTGGATCATTAACTCTCTGAAAAATTTAAAATCAAAACCAACAAATCACTGACAAGTTCCTTAAGTACAAAAATGACATTAAAATAATTGTCACCCTATTTAGCAGGTTTTTATTACTCCAGCATTTATACTATTGTGTAATTAATTCTCAACACTGAGCAATAAAATGTTAATAAAAGAGGAGAGCAGTGATGAAAGTATTGCCCCCAGACTTCACAACCACAGTACCTAGACTGATGTGGGTGACTGATAGACAAGAGGCCCTAATAAAAATCTCGGTGATTTCTATCTTTAGGAGAGATTACTTCATGTAGGGAAGATGGTATATCTTATGTGTGGAATATCTCACTCACGGTTAATTCAATGCAAACAGACAAATAATTCTAAACAGATCAGGTCATCTGCAGGAGGGGGGAAAGGGATCGTTTTTTCCCTCCAATCCAGATACTTCAAACATTCCAGTATCATGAAGTAATATGAAGCACAAAGTATATCAATTTTTGGGAGCCTCTAAACAAAGAAATGTCTTTCAAAATTATTAATTATAATGGTCCCCGAAATATTATTTAAAAAGTGAAATAAATTACTTTTTTCATTAGGTAATAATAGGTAATAAATTTAAATAGTTCTTTCTTCTTCCTTATGAAATGATGGATGGATCCCTCCCATAAAGCAATATATTCTCTAAATAATTATATATGGCCAGCCTAGCCAATATGCTGTAACAACACAGGTAGACAAAACAGAGACAAGTGTAAGGGGTCCTCTTATTTGTAGGTATAGTGGGTATACAAATTATTGAATGATGTAATTATTGACATAACCTATCACAGATCTGATAGATTGCATTATTACCTGCCACAGGGCCAAGCTAACTCTGGCCCTGTCAAGCATATCAAAATAGAAAGGGACAATGATCAGCCAATGAAAACACTGCATTTTACTACAAGTGTTAAACCGCATTATTTTGTCTTATATTTCTTTTTGTATGCTTTTGACCATTTTTAAAATGAAATATTTAAAAAGAAAGAAATAAGAATGTCATGAAAATCAAATAATGTTTTTTTTTATAATCAAAATGTGCAAAAGCATTCATAAGTTTAAATATAAACTATTAATGTATTAATTACTCTTTACTCTTAAGTTTTTGGTGTGATAACTTTCAATCTTTTTTTTCTCTATCATATAAAAAATGACAAAAAAATCTTTTATTATTATGACTTTAGAAATGATTGATTTAATCATAAGCATAATTTAATATAAATCAGTTTGTTTTGAAAAATAGGTTAATTTCACATAATTATGTAAAAAATTAAAAAAAAAAAGGTAAAGGAAAATAAAAGAAGGAAACATGACACTAACCAAAAATAACAATACACAAGTAAGGGCTGGGTGTAGAGAAAATATGCAGGGAAAACTGTCAAAATGTCAAACGGCCAGTCATTCTTGTTCAAACATACTACATTTGTGAATAATAATGAAGGAATGCAGACCAGTTGTAATATTACAGCATAAGGAAACATTTTGAAAAATTTAAATCAATTATTAAATGATTTTTAATTGAAAATTTGACTGTTCCTCTCAATCTAAATTGATGAGCAGGAAAAGGGGGGAAAAATCCACATGATGAAAATCATGAAACAACACGATTAGAAATGCCAATATATATCTCTTCCCTAACCCAGACATGCCAAAAACTGCTGACCAACTGTGAATTTTTTATACCAAACATTTCAATATGCCAATAGATGGTTATGAAACTTTTGTAGAATGGTGTTTTAATCACGTGCAAGATTTGAATGTATTAGAAGCAACATAAGAGTGCCTTCAAAGCTGGATTTGAATACTAGCGCAAATATTGGTGAAATTTCTGGCCCCTTTTCTGCAAACAACCATAAGACGATGGGTAAACAGATTAAGGGAATAAAAAAAAGGGGGCCACACGTTGTCAATATTGACTGAAAGATAACAATTAAGAAAAGATGTAAAGAGTTGTGCACCTTTGTATCAAATAAATACAATAATTCCCCCTTAATCCTTTTCAAGTCCCAACAGATATAGCACAATAATGCCCAAACGTGTAATACTATATAACAGAATTTAGTTTCAGGACATACTAATGGGTCCTGTAGTCTAAGTAGCTTCATTGGATTACGTTTATTGGGTTATTTTCACGCTTACAAGAGTAAAAGGAATTCTGACGAACCAATGTACTTCTTTTGGTATCGTGTGTAATAAATTATAAAATGCCAATTACTAAAATTATCACACATTATTGTGCTTTTCTTGTTTTCAGACAATACATCCATGGCTATAAAAGGCATCATAAAAACCTGTTTCACAACATTACAAAATTATGAAAAGTATCATTAACAGATACATTCCTGCAGCAAGTCTAGTACCAAAAACATGAAATGGTGCCATTTATTCATAGGAACTATTGCTTTGCTCAAGATAAGAAAAGATGACTGTTGGATAAGGAAAGCTAATTATTGAAGTAATTTACATTAACCACATGGTCTAGCTGGTATCTAGAAATGGTTGCATCTGTTTGCACATTACTGCTTGAACCGTCATAGTTATGATGCAGGAAATTTCCCCAAAAAGTATCAAAAATCCACAATAACTACTGTATGCGTTAATGAACAAATCAATGAAAACACAATGGAACAAATGTCATCGCTTAGCTGAACATCACCAAATAATCAATTAGTTTCATAAATAATCAATTAATTAACAAGTTTATTATACACCAGAATCAAAATGAATTAAAAACCAATACTGGACAATTCATTAATTAGTGACCCGCAAAGTTTCACAAGATTACCTGTAAAAGCGCAATATTTTATGCGAAACATACGACAAAAAAAACATTTTAGAAACAGTCTGACAAAAACATTGTATTAACAATCATAATACAAAAGAAAGGTAGAGAGGGAAAACTTTTACGTTATTTACTAAATTTTTAATGTTACAAAATTTAAAACATTTTCAATGCAAACGTTTTTTCTCTCCAAGTCTTGACAATACTTTTAATCCAAACAGTTCTTAGAACAGATTTAATCAAAACGACAACCAATTTTGTGATATATATTATGTTTGTTATACTAAAAGATATCTCCTGAAATGCAACATTTATTATAATTTCCCAAGAAATAACAATAATTACCTCTCCCCTGCACTGATTGGTGAGATTGGCGATAAGTCCAAATTCAGCCCAATTAATCCGTTAACAATAAATGAACATGCCATGTTTTTGTTGCTTTTTTCCGTTTCACTATGACAAAATGTACAGTCCAAATTTCTCCAAATGTCACTACAATCTACCCACTAATACATCAAACAGCTAGTTAACTTTGACAAGTCTATGTAAGAACACTGACATATGTGATCACAGTTGATATTTATCTTTATACTATAATAAAACAAAGTCTACTGCCCAAAATCTGTCTCACCAGGGTATATACACAAGTCAGACTATCACACCGGCCAATCAGATTGCACCACTTTGTCATGTGACCCCAGGTAAATACCTAATTGGCTGTTATCCAATATTATCCTATTTCAATGGCATTAAATTGGTTTTAAACAATCAATGAAAAAGCTGATGGGGCAGGAAGATAATATGGCAAAAGTTGTCACGTTATGGGTGGTTGGTCAACACCCCTCGGGTGCCAAAGGATGCACACCTGAGATACAGGAAGATGACAAAGCGCTTAAACAACCTACCTGCTAATGGTCTCTGTTGGCACTCCGGACTTGTCTGTAGAAAATCTGTTCTCACTGTAATGAAAAAAAAAAGATAACTTAAAAAATCTATTCAACTTTTAATATCACCATATAACATTAGTTTGCCATTCCATAAAAAGAATAGTAAATTCTACAACTCAACAAAAAATGATTTTTCTAACAAACTTTTCAAAGTACATTTTTGAGAAACAAACTTTCCTTGCATTTATTAACATACTCTAAATTTATCCACATTTATTAATTTTCTTTTTTAATGGTTCTAAGAAATTTAAAACAATTATATTGTAAGGATTTTGTTTTATTTTACTGGACAAAATAGAAATTGACCCAACAATAACAATATAATAGATAGTTTTATAAATTATTAAACAATTAAATTGACTTTCAGAAATTGCCCTTATTTATTTTTTAAATTTATTAATTCATTTTTTTTTACAAAAACTTTAAATTAAATTATTGATAAGGCATCTGTACTAATTAGTTTCACAACCATTTTATTTTATCTCGTATCAGAAAGAATTTTTAGGGCCATGCAGAAGATGTGGGGATAGATATTGGTTTTTATTTATATTTTCTTTCTAGAGGGACAATACTGAAAAAAGAAGAAAAGAATTAAGATATTAGGGGAGATTTTGCTGATTATCAGGTCACATGTCCCTTTCATCTTTGCATGCCTATGTCACTTTATTACACAGATTTGGTATGTGATCTTTTTTATTCTATTATTATTGGCAGCAATTGTCATTAGTAGAAAATATGTATCCTGGTGGATCTTATAAAAAAAGAGCAGAGTTTACCAAATATTTTTGTACAGATCGATTTAAGAGATTAGATTGTTCAATACTGGAACAAACATAGATAAAATTCAGTGTCAATATTATTCTTGTTTTCAAAGTAAAAATGCCAAGATAAAGTGGTCACCAACTACATACAATATTCCAGAAATTAAGATAATGTCCAGAGCATAAACTTCAAAGATTTTCTTATTATGCATGCTGATCATAAATATAATGCATTCCTGATCAAAAATAAATATTGACCTTTTCGTTTTTTAATATTATATTAATTTAAAGAAAATTGTATTTTTGACCACAAAAGACAATATAAGTTAAAAAGTCTCCAAATGTTCAACTCAATAACCACTAATTCAACAATATTCATTGACAACATAAATTCTGTCATAGAAGCTTAACTTTCAATTAACAAGTCTGAAAAAGTATAGCTCTTGAATTCCCAACAAAAATGTCATATTTCTTTATAATATAGACAAAACAACATCCCCTAAAATAGAGCAATATATCACACTTTGTATGTGAAGAAAAAGGTAAATGTAATATACAAATGCTAGGCCACAGAAAAGGGTGATAAAAACTGTATACGGGAGGTGTTGATAAAGTGTTAAAGCTTTATCTGGGGTGATAAAGAACTAATCAAGAATAATCTCCATGTTTCCCTAATGACTTAGGAAAGCTGCTACCTTACTTCTATGGTTGTTTCCTTGAATATAAACAAGCCATCACCTACATTATAAAGACCACCAGCAAACAACAGGAAACCTTGTAAAGATATCTGGCTAGGATATTAGAAGTTAAGAGTTAAGACTTTGGCTTGTGCCAATCATTGCTCAACAAAGCCCTGAATCACAGACCCATCAACCATGCATTCCAAAGGAGAAAACTTGCCTATGTGCAGAATGAAAATACTTGATTGCTGAAAATGGTAATGTCAGCACATGGATTTTTTCCCCTTTTCCTGGTAATAATAGTTAATTATTAGAACAGAACAGAGATGATTAAACTTACAGACAACTGTTGTTAAAAGCTAAGAACATCTGCACAAGACGATTGAAATTGTGGGAAAATATTCTGCATTTCTAACAAAGGTTTTCCTGCGTAATAATTTTATTTATGTAATTATGTCAATAACATTTTGCTGCATGCACTTGTATGAGCTCATTTCAATTTTCACATTCTCCAACATTATTTTTAATGAAATTTTGATGAAATTCATTAATCACCTTACTGATAGAGGATAGCAATTACATTTTTGATATACTTGTCAATTAAAACATCTTTAACCTAGTTTATAAAGTCTTATTTGATTTACTTATCAAGCTGACAAGATAATGCCAAATTGCAGAAGAAACATTTTCTGTGCCAGATGATTTTTAAGCCATAAAGACCACATTGTTGCAAGGTGATCCTAAGTGGATTAGGAAGGGACAATATTTGCTCTTCCTCAATATGACAAGACACTGGTGTTGTGACAACACTCATCCCCTGGCACAAGACTTCAAACAATGACACCAATTTCCTAATCCCTGGCCAGTAGTTTAGCATGTGGCCAGTGCAATAAAGGTACTTGACAATACTGCCTTAAAATATGTCTTGAAGGTATGGATCTATTGTAGACATTTTTCAATTACAACACCTAATAAAGGCAGTGACAAAAGGTTTCCCTGTTTAACACCTCTTCAGTCAAGAACGTGCAAATTTATCCTGTCCGAAATGTGGTATATTAGGAAATTCTATTTGCTATAGGATGAAACATATATTCCTATTTTGAAACAAGAGCTGTCCGTAAGACAGCGCGCTCGACTTTTTTATTGCTTGCCAATAAAAAAAGTTTTTGCAGTAAAAGGCAATACAAGAATCTCTGTATTTTTAAAGTGAACTAGTTGTTTGATACCCTTGAATATTACAGCAATGTTTATATGACATAATTTATGGTAAAGTGAACAAGTGGATAGGAATGAATTTTTTTAGATTTTTTAAGTTTTTTAGTGCTTGCCTATAATACAAAACATTGACAGTTAAGGGCCATAATTCAAATAAAATCTTTGACAGAATTACCTTCTCCTGGACATGTTTGGGAATCATGATTGTAAACAAGTATTCCAACTTTCAAATTAATATCTCAAACAGTTCAGTCAAAAAGTGGACTGGTACTAAAAACTTAACCAAGATTCTAAGTCGATAAAAGGCCTTAATTTTTAAAACAAATCCTTGACAGAGTTACCTTCTCTTGCGTACAGATGGGGGTAATGATGTGAAATAGCATTAAAAGTTTCAAAGCAATATCTCAAAGGGTTAAGGCAATAAGTGGATTTTACCCATATTCAATGTATTTTCTAAGTCAAAAAGGGCATAATTCTGTCAAAAACCTTGACAGAGTTATGTCCTCTTGTCTGTTGATGAAGGTCGTGATGGTAAACAAGTATGGTCAGTTTCAAAGCAATACCTCCAATGGTTTTGAAATAAAGTGAGGTGGTACAAAAAACTTAACCAAGCTCAATACACTTTCTAAGTCAAAAAAGGGCCATAATTCTGTCAAAAACCTTGACAGAGTTATGTACTCTTGTCTGTAGATGGAGGTTATGATGGTGAACAAGTATGGTAAGTTTCAAAGCCATACTTGTAATACTTCTGAAATAAAGTGGGGTGGTACGAAAAACTTAACCAAGGTGTGACGCCAACGCTAACGCCGACGCCGGGGCGAGTAGGATAGCTCCCCTTTTCATAGAAAAGTCGAGCTAAAAAAGGTCTCCTAAAAAAAATCCAAGAACTGAAAAAAACTAATGAAAGGCTATAATGACTTCCTGACAATTATTAGTTCACACTCCAACAACCATTTTTTTATTAAGTAAATAGGTTTGAATGAAATAATTAAAAAAAAATAATTAAAAACTCTTGCGGTAACTCTTGTCATGCTTTGCTACTGTACTGATCAGGGGAGTTAACTGCTGTGGACAGTTTATGTCTCCAAAAGACAAAGGATTTGTAATTTATATGGAGTACTGTAATATTATACCATTAAACATGTACACATTTGTTTTTAGTATTTCTATTTAAAGCATTCATAAAAAATTTTATACATATTTTTGAATTATTTTGTTTTGGTCTGAATTACTTGAACAGCATCAAACTATATTGAACATTATGTATTGCATGGATAACAAAAATTAGAATTTGTCTAAAGGGCATTGATGCATCCAGTTTCTGTTGTTTTGTCATAAGACATACAGTTGAAGGGCAGGCCAGCAGGATAGATGGACAACAGTCCTGAACCCCACACAGTGGAGGCATAAAAACGATGAAACCTTCAAACTCACAGAAAAAAATTAATGTCTATGTCAAAGTAAAAATTACTTTATTATATCATAGGTAGTTCTAATCTTAAATTGATAATCAAGTGATCCAATAGGCAATTAAGCTACAATTCCATTTCTGGAGATACAACTTGAAGCCAGTTTATGTAGCAATATAGATAAGAAAATAAATACTGCCTGCAATCAACAGTGATAAGACAATTAAGATAAACATTTGAGTCGATGATAATAATAATGATGCTACCAAGTATGGATCATAATGATAATTCACATACAAATAAACATTTTAATGGATTTCACATGATCCAAATTGTTTACAATGAAAATAATTCCATGATACTCAGTATACATACAAGAATCAAAAGGTTCAAAAATCAAACAAAGACATCAAATATGGCAAATCAGCTTAAGTTTTAAAAAAAAAAACGGATAAAAAACAATGTTTAAGCAGACATTTAAAATGAAAAGGGTAATAAACTTGTCAGACTCTTACATTTACATATGCAACCATTTAAAAACAATAACTCTTCATCTTGAAATAAAACAAAAGAAATTTGACAAAGGGAGACTATGGGGGCAATGTTGGGAGTAATTGTTCCTTGTTAAATTGTCAAACATTTGAAATGTAATATTTCAATTTTAGATTTATTGAGAAACACTGTAATTACTATCCATATATCTTTTCAAGCTAACAAAGGGAAGTCATTATCATTGGCAATAAGTAAACCATTTTTTTAAGCCCTCAGGACAAAAAGGAAGCTGGACTGTTTAAATTATGACCATATATAAAAGTATACTTTATGCAATAAAACTTGCAATAAAGTTGAAACATAAAACTAGTAGGAACAATACATTTTATAATCCACCCTGTCAAATTTATTTGTGTGCAGGATGTACATGGACCAAGAACACATTGCAACTTTTG